GAAGTCTCGCCCCGCCAAGACCTGTGACAGCTAGTTATTTCTGTGTGAGTGTTTACCCAGGCTTCAGTGGGCACCCAAGCAGACTGGACAGGGGAAAACAGTCGTGGACTGTAAGTCCCACTTTGAAAAACCTCTGCCTTAAGCCCCCCTGTATGTACCTAACATAAAGCATAAAAAAAGAATTTCACCAACCTTGAAATCAGTTACTCAGACTTTAGTAGGTAACCATCTGCTATACACATCTCCTTGGCCACATTTCAAGGTGATAGTAATTGCTCTGCTATATTTCTAACAAACATTTTGATTTAATAAAACATAAAATACGTACATTTAATCACTGAGAGAGAACACCACTGAACTTTTTTCCAACGACTGCAGATAAGCCAGCGATTCACTCGTTTAACTAGCTCTGCTAAGTGATCTGGATCAGACTTCATTATCTGATCAAACTCTGCAAACTAAATAATAATAAAAAAAGTTTTACAAATTAGGAGAACACAGGGTGTTAGATATTATTATTTAAGAGCTTGCTGAGTTAAAAAGGTAAAATATTTTTAATGTAAGCTGAATGTCATCATTATATCAGCTTCCAATTAATTCAAGTGAGCAGGTCTGTCACTTTATTCTTTAATGATAACAGAAATGACTACTGGGTTTTTTTGTTTGTTTGACTAATTGACGTGCAACACTTAGCATTTTGAATAATCCAAGCATTTATTAATCACTATGAATTTTTATTGCCAAAATTTCAAAATATTGTTTGTTTCTCTACATCCCGAACGCTTACTCTGGCCTTCCACAACTTCAAGACAGCTCTAATTCTGTATCTGGGAAAAAATAAAGCCCTGAAAGCACTTTTAAATTTTCAACCTTTGTGTAAAAGTCCAACTAAAGGCAACTTTTTCTGAAAACCCTGCACTTCTACTTTTTGGTAATTATGACAGTAAGAACATCCTTCTGGGACTACAATAATTTTCCTTTCTAGTCACAACAGCTCTCTACTTCAGCTCCTTTCTCTGCATAGTAGCAGCAGCAATGCTCAGAATCACATAAAGAGATTTCAGATATAGATTTTTCTAGAAAATACTTTTTTCTTTGCTCTGACTTGCTCTTTTTAATAGTCAACATAAGTCTTAAGTGACTGGTAGAACATCTGGCAATACAAACATTGCATTAGGTATACAGCAGCACTAGTCACAAGACTATGAAACCAATTATACATTAATATTGGGATTTTTTCATAGAAAATAAAAAGTATTTACAAAAAACCCCGGGTAACCTTATTTAAGTTGGCTATGCTTTTAGCAATGTGTTGAACAATGTGACCTTCAGAGGTCC